CTGGGAGATGATGATTGGGCTGGTCCCTAGAATGGAGTTATAAATGTGGGACCTGTAGCAAATTCTGCCCTGTGCCTGGGGGTGAAGAAAACAGGAATTCAAAGAGGGGAGAAGAGATGGAAGGTGCAAAGCCTGCTTAGACCGAGCCTGAGTACTGCATGAGGTTCTGACTGGGTTTCCAGACTCCAGACCCCTCTGCTATAATTTCACCCTTGGGTGCCAGGATACACACAGGAGTCATAATAAATTAAGTATATCTGAGTTAATTCAAGTAGGTCTCTGCTATTCTTAAACAGATCCTAAATAACATACTTAGCAAGTCATCAGTCAATGCAAATGTCTCAGAACTGAACAACTCAGGTAAAATGATGCCCACATACCTTTCTTGGGGGAAGCAGGCAGTCCTCAAGCAAATCAGTGGGGGTGGGGGAGGTCAACTGATTATACTGTTATTTCACTTTCAGAAAAAAATGCAAAGTTGTGAAAGAACACTATGTGTAAGTGTATTTTTACACATCTATCCGTTCTGTGAGCTACATTATGCCCTTTTCAAAGAACTCCTGAACATCTATCTAATGAAGTGCCAGACACCTGACGACCCTGAGCCCTGAGTTAGAGAGAGTGGCCCATTACTCACCCTTCAGCACCTAGCAGGTGCTGAATAATAATAATAATGTTCAATTAACAACAGGGGCAAACCCTAAATGCCTGTTGAATTAACGAATAAAGGAGGAACTAAATGGGAAAACAGAAGTTACCAAAAGTCAGAAAATCATAACTCTCTTGGCTGGGAGGACTCAAAAGCCACTTCCAGCCCAGAGCAGATCTGTTTACTTTTTCCTACACTTCTTGCTTTCCTCTCATGGTATAATCTGTTTAGAAGTTCCTCTTTTCCGCTGCCTAGTTAAGAGTCCTTAGTCCCACCCTTCCTTGTTATAATCCTCTCAGGTGCCTTGAGCCCCTTCTTGCTAAATGGTGTTTTGGGGAAATAAATAGGACAAAATGTATGTACATATACATACACACACATACACATGCATATTACATATAAATATGTTATTTCCAACACACACATATATATGGGTGTGCACAGGAAGAGGAAAAGTTAAAATGTTACATAACCTCCTGCTCCTTCGCGCCTCTGTAACTAAGCTTGCTCCTTGCAAAGTCTGGATCATGTACGTCATGTAGTCTCAGAAAGTGGGGATTTACAATACTAGGAACTGGAGTTTAACTCTCACCCTTGTCCTGCTCTTTGCAAATGCCCAGCCCCTGCAAACCTGCTTGATCATGCCTGTCCATGTAAAGGTGAGGCATCCCCCTCCCTATCTTGACTGCTATTCCTGTGTGTGAAACCCCTTAGTTTAAACCAGCCTATTAACAGTTAGTGTTGCCCACTACAGACTGTCTATAAAATCTCTGTAACCACTTTGTTCAGGGCTCAGAGCCTGGAGTGTTAACTCCTCTGGGCCCGCCGGCATAGTAAACCTGAGTTCTCCCAACTCTCTTGAGCATGGTGCTTGGTTTCTCGAGTACTGGTTTCTGCAACACATGTGTCAGGAATAGGATAATGAAACCTTAGTTACTGTCATTTCCCTACATTTTGACTTTTTCTTTACAATGATTCTGGATAAGGCATCTTTGCATATTGTGGAAGCTCTGACCACAGTTCGGTAAATTAAGTTTGATTTGTGCCTGTTAGTCTCTTGTATTACATAAACCTTATCAAGAAATGAGAATAAAGAAAAAAATCCTTAACACCCTACCAACCTTTTAAATTTCTCCTGTGCTGAGGGAACTTTTTGGGGTAATAGAAATTTTCTATGTCTCAATTATATAACTATATTCATTTGTCAAAACTCGCCAAACTGTATATTTAAAAGTACCAATTAACTGTCTATAAAGTATATCTCAATAAGCCTAACCAAAATCCAAACTCCATCTTTATGCCCAATGTACATATCATTTTCTTAGTATCTATCTCCATGTAATTATTTAAAAGTAACTTCTATATTGCTACACTGTCTGAAGCTGTGATTCTGAGAAAGGACAGGATGAAAAGTGTGATCAAGCCAGTGAGATCATAACATCTGGTCAGATCAGCATTCTTTAAACTCTTGTGTTATCAAAATCGTTAATTAGAAAATTAATTCAAAAGCATCCCACCCCCTGGACTTCCCTAGTGGTCCAGCAGTTAAGTCTCTGCACTGCCAATGAAGGAGGCTCAGGTTCAATCACTGGTCAGGGAACTAAGATCCCATATGCTGCCCAGCTTGGCCAAAACATAAGATGACAATGACAATAATCAAATTAAATATAAAAAAGCACCATCCCTTACAAACGACTGATAGGGGACATGGAGCAGCTGTGAACACGCTGAGGGCAGGCATGGTAACTGATCAGGAACAGGCTCTCTTCTAATTCAGGAGCTACAGCAAGTCACTGTTGGGCTTCTCTTCTTCCCTCCGGTGTTTCCCAGTGTGATGCCAACAAGATCACCCCATGTCTAATTTACAGACACACCCAGAGACCTGCTCTCAAAGGCACAAGCTCAAGTCACTTCTGTACCTACATACTTAAGTAGGCACTAAAGTTAAATAGTGACATGGATGGGAATAGCAAAGAAACCCAAACAGAAAAGCCACATCCCCTTTCAATCATGTTCTTGTCACTGATTATTTTCCTGCTGTATAGCTTGGTTACACAAGATCCTGATAATGGTCACTATCGAGGTAATAGAAATCCAAGGCTAGATGCCCCACAGTGAACTTTGCTACTGGCCCCACCAAAGGGCCCTCCTGAAATTCTGAAAGTAATCATTGGATACTTTTAATGGTTACTTCCTCCCACAGATTTTGCATTTCCTCTACTTTTTGAATTACGATAGCCCCTCTTGTAATGCCATCCTTCTAAAACCCAAAATATTCTACCAATTCTTCCAACTCTAGTATCCCTAGAAGGCAGGAGTGGACTGACGGTAGGTCAAAACTGGGCATGATAAAGAGCAAATACTGGGACTTCCCTGGTGATCCAGTGGCTAAGACTCCATGCTCCCAGTGCAGGGGGCCCAGGTTCAATCCTTGGTCAGGGAGCTAGATCTCACATGCTGCAACTGAGAGTTCACATGCTGCAACAAACGCTCAAAGCAGCCAGAAAAAAAAAATAAATAAAAAAGGAACAAATACTACTGGGGTTCCCTAGTGGCCCATTGGTTAGGATTCTAGGCTTTCACTACCTTGGCCTGCGTTCAGTCCCTGGTCAGGGAACTGAGATCCAGTAAGCACCATGGTGCAGTCAAAAAAAGAAAAAGAAAAAGGAACAAACACTACCATTTCATACCAGGGGAAAGTGAAGGTGTTAATTGCTTAGTCATGTCCAATTCTTTGTGTGACCCCAGGAATCTATACATGGACATCAGCAGATGGCCAGTACCAAAATCAGATTATATTCTTTGCAGCCAAAGATGGAGAAGCTCTATACACTCAGCAAAAATAAGACCAGGAGCTAACTATGGCTCAGATCATGAACTCCATATTGCCAAATTCAGACTTAAAATTAAAGAAAGAGGGCAAACCACTAGACCATTCAGGTGTGACCTAAACCACATACCTTATGATTATACAGTAGAAGTGACAAACAGATTCAAGGGATTAGATTTGATAGAGTGCCTGAAGAACTATGGATGGAGGTTCATGACATTGTATAGGAGGCAGTGATCAAGACCATCCCCAAGAAAAAGAAATGCAAAATGGCAAAATGGTTGCCTGAGGAGGCCTTACAAAGAGCTGAGAAAAGAAGAGATGTCAAAGGCAAAGGAGAAAAGGAAAGATGTGCCCATTTAAATGCAGAGTTCCAAAGCATAGCAAGGAGAGATAAGAAAGCCTTGCTCAGTGATCAATGCAAAGAAATAGAGGAAAACAACAGAATGGGAAAGACTAGAGATCTCTTCAAGAAAATTAGAGATACCAAGGGAACACTTCTTGCAAATATGGGCTCAATAAAGGACAGAAATGGTATGGACCTAACAGAAGCAGAAGATATTAAGAAGAGGTGGCAAGAATACACAGAAGAACTGTACAAAAA